CTCCCAGGAGGAGCCGGACAACCTCGTGGAAAGGGTTGTGCCAAACCCTGTGGCTCTCCCACAACCCCTCAGATTCCTCTATTAAAACACTCTTGTCCTCAGTCCAAGCCTGAGTTATTACAGATCGTGTTCAGCTTTAGAACGCGCCGTGTCCCCTGTCCCTGTGGCGAGACAGAACGTGGCACTGCACACCTGCAGGGTGTCTGCTGTTCACTGAGCTTTCATATCCCAACACCTTACAGCACTCAGAACCTCTTCTACTTGGAAAAGAACTTCAAATTATCATTATAATCTGAATGTCCTAAACACACACGTGCAGAAGCTTTAAAAAGTTCCTCATGCAGCAAACACGCTGTCTAGTCTTACATCATTCTTTCCTTCGTTTCCCTTGGATTTCTGTGCCAGTACTGAGAAGCCCCCACAGTGGGTTACAGCTGCAGTCACCAGATGAATTAGGCTAAATTACTTTTAGCCTGGATTTAAATAACTCATCCAACTCCATAAAAAGCCAAACATCCAGGGCCAGAAAACCCGAGGTAATTCCACTGCAGACCCCCTGGTTTTGCAACACAAAAGCTTATAATGGCTGACATGTCAGCAGCTGCCCGAAGGCATCAAAGCCACAGCACCACTGGACATGCGTGCCCCAGTTCCAGCCGTCCATCTGGAGTCTGAGAGAACCTATTCTCCTTCTTAAATTAATTAAAAGCTAATTATAGCAGTCTGGGGAAGAAATCCTCTCCGGTCTCTTCACATGAAACAGCAGTGGCTGATAAAGACTTCAGCAAGGAGGCTCGGCTCGAAGGGAGGAGAGGCAGGAGGGGAGACACAGCCTAAATGCCAAAGTTTATTTGCCTGCACTGCTAGGAAGGAAAACAAACTCAACCCCCAACCTTTTAGCACTCACATGTAGGACACTGACTTTAGCTTTGTAAACAGTACTGAAATTTTATACCCCAAATATAAAGGCGGGCAATTCCAGCACAGATCTGTGCCTACTTGGAATTTAAGCCCAGCTTTTAACATGCTGTTACTGGAAGAGATTTGACTTCCAGCAAGCCCAGTCCGCTGTTCTGTTAAAGATTTCTTAAAACATTCATAACTGGGAGGGTTAACAAATGCAGACACCGTGTCAACAACAAGCAATTCCAAAAAAGTTCAATTTTTCCTCCCCTACAGATCTCCAGAAGACAAACAACCGTGCACAACCTTTTACTTAAATCGCATTTTATCTGAGCGCAGATTCACGGAGGAAGTGGGCTTGTTCCTGACTCAATTCCTGGGGAAGTTTAATAAATTGAAATGTTAATCTGTTCTTTCTCAACTCCGTTGAAGGCATCACAGAAGTATCTGACAGAGACAGATAAAAAATAGCAGGTTATTATGGTCTCTCCTCCTCGGCGAGCGCTCCCACAGCGCCGGCCCCACGTCTGAGCGCTACCAGACGGCGTTTCCTGGCACATCCATCCCCGGCAAGACACACACGAGACACAAATCAAATCCCCAGCGCCAATGCTTGTAATTCTGCCGCGATTGCCATCATTTCTTTAGGCAGGAGCGCTCCCAGGCCCCACATCTCCTCGGTGTGGTGCCACATTTGCTGTATCAAGAGGCGCTCATTCACCGGCACCGAGGCACCTGCGTTCGAAAAGGCTTTTAAAAATCACCCATCGCAGCCTTCACTGGCACAGACAGCTCCTCAAAAGCAAGTATAAAAGTTGTTGTACTCAAATGATAAATAAAGGCCAAGGAGTGATGGTATCACCCTTTCAATTCCCACTTCCTCCACAGTGCCACATGGTCCTGCCAGAGGTAATTTCCCTTCTTTGTTATTTAGCTGTATTCGTAAACATTACATTATGTCACATTCAAAATTATTCATATTCAAAACTGATAGATAATCAGTTGTATCCCTTTGTATGCAGCCTCGAACACAGACTGGCAGCTCAGAAGTCACGCTGTTAACTTAGCAGTCAAACCACCTAATCAAATCATGTGTTATGACATGAAAATATACAAGTTTTTTATTTCTGTGGCAGCCCAGGAAGGGCAGCGTGCATCACATACTCCCTGCAAAGAGAGAAGCACCACCCTGCAGTATTTTATATCCCCCGGAAATGCACACGCAAATAGCCAGATCGACTTCAAAAGGGGGTGACCCAGTGTCTCAAAATTTTAAGTTAATAATGGAATGGGACCTTGAGCTCTGCAACTCCTTTAAGTTTTGGCAGAACTGTATATAAATCACAAATGGTTAAAGTATTTTCTTTTTTTTTTTTTAAAGCAGAAAAAAAATCATGAAAATTTAAAAATTGCTTCCAAATTGCCTGCCAACTGGTTTGGGTTGTTTTTCCTCCTCTAAATGCCTGCTGAAGGTCATTTGTTTAGTGCTTTTAAAAACACGTATTTTCACTCAAAATTGAACGTTTTCAAACGCAAAAATGAAGTGAAATGTCAACTGTTTGCTATTCTGCAGCATAACCCAGGTGCAGCTGCTGCACCGAGGACGGTTCTGAGTGACAAGAGCTTTACCCAGACGAGTTGCTATTTCTGAGCGTGACTTCAAAAATAAATAATTTAAAACGGAACAAAAAGAGACAGCCAAACAGAGCAGGCTCACGAAAGCGCTCAATAACACGGTGTCACGTTGATAGATAAGACTGACAAGTCCAAATACAACTGTGGGGTTTCATCAACAAAGATGTTCTTCAATGCAAACAAACAGCGAAGGGGAAGAGCCAAACGAAGCAGCTGAAACAGGCAGAGAAAAGGAATGTGGGGGAAGGACCTGCAGGCTCAAAGGCACTCGGGCTGCTGGAATCACATCAGAACTTCCAACAGCACCAACGGGTTTGGGTTTTCACTACAGGCACTGCGGAGTACCTGCCTGCAAGCCCAAAATTCTCTCCAAGGGAAGACGAATAATTCTGGAATATTTCATTCCTAGACGAGGACGGGCAGCAGATTCTGTCCCAGAGTTATTGAGGCAATATTCTAAGGCCACAGGAAATTTAGGCAACCCAACAGCCAGGAGGCAAGTTAAAATAAAAAGGTCCTCAGAAGACAATAGGGTGAAATAAACCAATACCTCAGAGGCCGTGGCAAGTCCCAAATTTGTGTGAATTTACATAAAAGAGCTCTGAAGTGAGATTTTGTGTGAGAATGGTGAGAGTGGCACCCACTTTGATGGGATTCTAAAAATGTCTCCATAAAACACAATTCCATCATAAAAGCAGCTCCTTTTTCACAGGTTATGCCCTGCCCAGGAGGTCCATCCCCAGGCTGTGCCATGGTTCCCCTGTGCATGTGGAGGAAGGGGATGAGTCTCCCTGGTCAGCTGGGGAACTGCGGCACCTCCAACAGGTATTTTCCTTTCTGGATCGAGGCTTGAAGAGTATCTTTAACAACCATTTTCACTCCCCCAGCAACACTCAAAAACTAAAAAGAACCAACCCCAAACCAAAACCTCTCGGTTGACATGGAATCAACAAGTGGTTGGGGTTGGAAGGGACCCCTGGAGATCTCCTGGTCCAAGACACAAACTGTTCCTCCGTAATTCAAATATTCCCATGGGGACCAGAGAAGCTCCCACGGAATGATCAGCTGGCAGCATCCCTTCAGCAATGGTTTTAACAGGTTTTCATCCCTTAATGTTTTTCTTTCATAAAAGAGCTGGGTAGGATGTAAACATTTTGTAACGACAGACAGGTAAGGGACGTGGAGAAAGCACAGTCAGGAAGGAAGTTGAAGGGTATTTAAAATTCATGTGTATCTATGACAAATTAAGGAGAAGGCTGGAAGCTTGTTTTTAAGAACTTAAGACAGTTCACTTCAAAGGCTTCTTGGGTTTTTGGAGGATTTTTTTGCTGCAGAAGAATATTTTCTTTGCACTGTTTGCAGCTGCCACTGTTTTTAGTCCTTCCAGTTGCCGGAATTATCGGCACGCTGGTTGTTCAGAGATAAAGTGAAGAACAATTTCATGCAGAAAAAAATATCACTTTTTGATTTCCCCATAACTCCTTGCAGAGGCTGACTGGACACACAGCTTCAGTCCTCTGCCAAGGAACGGTCTCTGGTTCTGCCTCTGGCCATACACCTTCAGATTTGACTTTCTCTCAGTGCCGAAGGCCAACTACATTTTTAGTTTAATATGACTTTAATCTACACTCCTCCCACCAATTCTCAGAAGTGCCTGGTACTTGGGACTGGCTGACTCCTGAATCTTGGGAGCACTTTTCTGATAGCCTTCACCAGTGCCTCAGGACGTTTTCTCCACACTACGCCACTTCTCAAGATGTCTGTGTGTATCTTCTCACTTGACATCGATTTTCTTACCATTTCTGGCTTATTTTTAGCTCTAGTAAAAGAGGCTCCCTTAGCTGTGTGTGATTACCCTCCACAAGCATTAACAAGCTGCCCTTTCCTTAGCAGGCTCTGGTGTTGCACTCTCACTTTCTCCTCGGATTCTTTCACCTCCTTTCCCACAGTAATTCCTTCAGACATGCTGAGATAAACACTGCCACTATTAACCCACCTCCTTCTGACAGCTGAGCACCAACGTGCAGAACAAGAGATACTCCTAAGGAAACCGAATATTGACTGATGAGTGGTGGCCACTATTTGTTTGACACAGTATTAAACAAATGCAACACCCTTACTGTCCATGGGCACTTGGAGAGCTTTTCCTAGGAGGTGTTTCCAAGAAATTACAATTTCCGACTCTGAAAAGTCATTTAACAAATTAAATGAAGAACAGATGAGTGAATCAGATATTCTTAATTAGATCCCTCAGCAAAGGAAGAGGCAACCCACAGTTCTCATTCTAAAACCAAACCAGCATTTCACTGAACATCTTCTCTTCAATATAACCACGGTTTCTACCTAATTTAGTCACACACCTTTTGAAATCAAACAGCAAATTACTCCAGCTAAATGAAATAAGACAAGAGGACACATTTGTGGAGTGGAAGAAGGGCTTTGTGGCTCAGTAGTTTTTTTACCTCACAGAGCAGTAAGTCAATGATGTGGAAGACCATGCAGAGTGGAAACTTGGCAGTGAAGAGCGTGAGGAACCACTGGGATGCGTACATGTGAGCTTCCAAATTGAGGTCTGAGAAGTGGTTGTGCAGGTCTGGTAACTGCTCCTGGAGCAAAGGAGAAAAAGAAACGTCTCAGGATCACTCGTTAACCCGACCTCTTCATCTACACTGCCAGCAAGGACCATGTTGCTGAACACCAGAAACCACAACAGAGTGAAATACTGGCTTCTCCTGAGCAGTGGGAACGTTTCTCGATGGATTTCAGCGCCCACTGTTACAGTTCTTAGTGAGGTGTCCCCAATGGATTCTATCACAGTATCAAATAATGTACTGAGATTATCCTGAGAAATTACAAAACCTTCAGCAGTCAAAAGGCAGAGAGGCTGTGAAATCTCTGTCAGAATAACTTTTCTAAGTTATTCCTTTGCTGTTGTTTTGCCACAAGTGCTTCTGCCACAAAAAAATAATAGATACTGGAACCAGGAGATCACCTTGCTGAGCTTGAAAGCAACAGAGCACAGACAATTTCTCTAACTAGGAGCATATATAAACAACACAAAATAAGCACTGAAAATGCTACTGTACAGTGATGACATATTAAGTTAATAAAGTATCTTTGTTAACAGTATATCTGTTAATAAAAATTTATTTTATTTGCTAGTAAAAATCTCGGTGAGCATATGTAAATATTGAGAAGACCATATGCTGAAGTATCACATTAATCAGTAATTCTACTCCATAGAGTAGATTTGACATCTGAAAAAAACCTAATTGAGTTAAAACATTAAATTAGCAGTGGTCTGTTTGGTTTGGTTTCAGTATTTCCCACAGAGTTATCTATGGTCACCTGTGAGAACTGACTCCAGCAGCCTCCACTGTGCTAACACAAGGGCAGGGCTTCACGACCTGTTAGTAATTCCTTATTAGTCAGAACAACAAGGTGCAAAACTCGCAGCAGGGTAACTGTGTTAAAACTGCCCGATGAAACAATTCCACCTGAGAAAAGAGCAGTGCCTGGATGGGACAGCCAAACCTGCCAAATGACCTACCCTGGGCCGGCATTTCATAAGCATCAGGGTGTCCTCATTTGCCTGACCTCTTAACCACCAGCAGAACTCGTGGAAAGTAGGGCAGTGCAAAGATACACCTCGGCCTTAACAGCACAGGGACATTATCCCTAAGCAACACCAGGGAACAGGGAAGGGAGGGAGGAAAAAACACAGATACCTGCTCTGCTTGGATACAGAGATTAGCAGCAAGATTGGTCTTTGAAAGACAAGAGAAACGAGAAATAAATCTGAGTCATGAGGTGTGAACTGAGTTGTTAAACCTTCCCTGCTTTGGTCCTGCCCCACCTCCAAAAGGAGAGGGGGTTTATTGTCCAGCAGTTCTGGAAGCAGAGCATTGATCTCTTCTTCAGGTCAGCATTTCCATATACGACAGAAGCAGAATTTGTTACTCTGGCCTCACCTGCATTAACTTCTCCAGCTGGAAAAATTTGCAGTGGAGATCTTCAAAGTTATTTCTGTAGAGGTCCCTCAAGCCATAGTCGTACATTATTTTCACAAACACACAGAATGCCTGCTCCTCTGGCATCTGTTGGGAAAAACACACAAAAGCAAGGTTAAAAACAGAGCTGAGGCTGGAGATGCCTTGCACAGATACACACACCTTGGGCACGATGAATTCAGACCCAGGGACACATTAAAACTTTCAGCCAAGCCCTCTGAATGCAGAATTGAGGAAGTAAAACATCAAGGGCACCGTTCTCCTTGATGAGCACTTGGGTTTGGCTCTTTTAAGGCCTTCTCTGAAGAAAATGTGGGATCAAATCCCAGGTTCCTGTACATGTAGATCCCTACAGCAGCACAACTGGCAGCAGCATTCCTGCTGCCCAACAGGGGGGTGAGAACGACCAGTACACAACCAGCAGGTACAGAACAATTTAAAAATAAAAAAATAAGAGGGAGCAAAAGTAAAATAAAAAGGCAACAACTCATGACAGTGGTTTCTACTGAGAGAGATTTGGTTAAAAGGGGAAGATTCAGGAGAATTAAGGTACAACCAACCCTGAGTGAGAATAATGCTCACCTGCTTTCATCCAAACACCAGGACATCGGACTCTGAAATCAGGTTTCCCACGATCCCATCAATTAACATCCTGACTTTTTCAGAATTCTTATCTCCATAACCTCTATTCCATTCTGACCAGAGTTCCTCATCCAGCAGAGTTTTGGGAGGTGGTACCAACACAAGCTGTGTGAGCCACTCTAAACTCACATTCTGTGGCTGAATTTGTGGGAAGCCCTGTATCACAAAAACTGCACATCACCTCCCTCCCTCCCTTCCCCCGTGCCTTCAGGTAACACCAGAACAAGACAGGCACTGCAGACCCCAAATCAAGCTTTCAAAGACATTAAAAACAACCTTTCTTTTGGAGGTACCAGATTGTAAGAAATGAAAACAATTATTGAGGATCAAGAATGACAACTCTTGACCTTTTAGTGTATTCACTCATAGGGCCTCTTGCCAGCTCCTTATCAAATATCAGCCACAGATAAAAGCTTGGTATTTTCTTCAAAGGGAATTTTAGTCTCTTGATATTTACCTCCAGGGTTTCATCTTTTAAGCTCAGCCCATGATTAGGGCCTGTCTCCAGGGCCATGGGCAGACACTTTCATTTTCATTTTCAGACATCATAAAGGAAAGTATCTAGTTAGCATAAAGCAGTGCCAGCTCAGCTGCTGGCTCCCAGTCCAAGGCTGATTCACCTTGGACGAGTTCTCAGCCACCTCAAAGCACAATTTTATCTGGACGCAGTGATCCCCACTGACAGTGGATCAAAGCTGCAGGCACAGTAAAGGGAAGCAATGATTTCATCCTGACCAAAAGGCTCCAACCTGCTCTGTAAGAAAGACGACGAATGCAAATTTCAGGGGTTTTGGATCCAAGCCCCAATTATTTTTAATTAAACAGAAAACAGGTGCTCATGCACAAGCTCATCTCCCCTGCATGCTCAGTCAGACACTCGTGCAGTGACAGCTGTTCCTCCCTCGACACAGGGAGAGGGGACAGAGGCCAAACAGGTCCCCAAGTCCTTGCTCTCAGGGGACAGAGGTTTTCCAGTATTACCAACCCCAAGAATTTGGATTCGTACACAGAATTTTCATTTCTTCTTTTATTCAAGCAGAACACAAACTTTGGGTATCGCCAGTCTGATTTTCAGCACTGAGATTATAAAAGGCAAATATGTATTCTTTGAAATTTTAGGGTTTTTTTTTTCACAGAGCAATGGCTCTGAAAAGTAGACCAAAAAAAAAAAAAAGTCAAATACTGTGAGACTTACAGTAAAGTGATTAGAGTTGGCAACACTGTCCCCCTGTGATTAGAAGGTACCTGCTCACCCTTGATGGGAATTTCATCAGAGCAGCAAAATCACAAAAATCAAGGATGGAGGTTCAGGCTAGCCAGCCACCCCTGCAGGAGATCTAACTGGAGAGAAAGGAGAGCCTGTCCCGGCTGAAAAAGGGAAAGGAAGGGGTCTAGAAATCCATGCAAAGACAGGAGAGTTACAGAGGGTCTTACAGGCAATCACAGCACACAGATTGGTTGGGGAATTTGAGAAGAACAAGAGTTTGAGGACATCCTGGGAAGCTGCCAACTTACATGAGCTCATTGAGACTGCTTCCCTTCCCCCCTTTCTCTGAGAATTTCACTTTAATATCCTATTATGAAAGCAAATGTTATAAAGGGCATATTAAAATGAGGGTAATTTCCATTTAGTATTCCCTGTGTACAGGGCAATTTCTTCCAGCTCCAGAAACACCAGAAACAGAGGTGATTCTCTGTGGTAACGACAGCACAGAACCCAGGCAGAGGGGCTGAAGCATTAGTCAAATGTTAAGAATGAGACACCCACACGTTTCCAAACAACTCTGGTATTGAAAAGGCCTTATTCTTCCACTGGAACTTCCAAATCCTGTTTGGGGTGAAAAGCTAATTGCAAAATAACTGTTAGATAAGCTAATTTGCAGTGTATGTGGGAACTGCAATATTGTGACTAAGTCCTGAAAGGATCTAAAGCTTCTCTGCAACGCTGTCCCTGCGTATCCTGCTCCTTAAGTCTTCCAGGAGTTACAGCTCTCCCTAGGAATTACAGCTTCAGTGGATCTGAACTTGAGTTCTCAATGCCTTAGGAAGTGTATGTGTAACACAGACACCAACAGCTGACTCAGACCCACAATCCAAAACGTATTTCAATCATGATTAATAATTTACTCATTAAAACCTGACCTGAAGAGCTGTGGTTGGAGTGTAGGATGGTTTATTCTGATCTACTTTATCTGAATAAATACACTACTTGAATCTGCAGCTTTTCCATTGAGACATCAAAGGTAGAGCATCTTGCAGGCAATAAAACCCGTGTATCTAATGATCTACCTCTCTAGACATATGTGCATGTGTTTATACAGGAAGCAACGGATCAAATTTCGTGCCGTTTTTGGTTACAGGCTAAAATATCAAGGTGGAAATTCAGCTTTCACTCACAAGATATTACAAAGTGTCCCTAGGAGGAAAAAGGCTCACTAAAAATTAATGAGACTGCTTGCTCTGCTGAGCTACTCCGAGAATGTCTCCCAGAGTTAAATTCCCCATAAACACAAAGGGAGCTCACCAAGGTGACAACTAAATTAAAAGAAAATATTAATATGTAACAAATCAGCTTCAGGTTTTGACACAGAAGTACTTGACAATTTAATGGATTTCTCCCAGATATAGCAAATCTACATTCATAAAGATAGAAGCCATTAGTCACTACTGCCAAAAAGCAACAAGAGGAAAATGAATACAGGCAAATAAACAACAGTAAATATCTGTCAAACAGCACCACTGATTTTACAGCTGCTTTGGTTTCACATATCCAAGCTTTCACTTGGCAATTAACTCACATGAAGCAAGAGCACAGCTGCGAGGAAGGACTGTCCCTGGCAGTAGCCGATGTCCTCATCGTACACGGAGTAGGCCTGGCAGGAGGGAAAGCAAAGTGAGTTTAACCATGAGGGGCTCCCAGAGACTGCCAGAGAGCAGGGTTAGGTGGGATATTGGGAAGGGATTCCTCCCAGTGAGGATGTTCAGGCCCTGGCACAGGTTTGCCCAGAGAAGCTGTGGCTGCCCCTGGATCCCTGGAAGTGTCCAAAGCCAGGTTGGACGGGGCTTGGAGCAACCTGGGCTGGTGGAAGGTGTCCCTGCCGAGGGCAGGGGATGGGACTGGATGGGCTTTAAGGTCCATTCCCACCCAAACCATTCCATGATTCTCTGTGTAACACTACTCAGGCTACAATAATAAACGGGGTGAAACCACAACCACTCTTGCACAGGCTTTCAGGGCTCTCCAGAAAACACCCACAAGTTCACTTTCAACCCTCCACAGATGCTCTTACTGGTAAATTTTTATTTTCCAAACAGCACAAAAAGTGTTGGATGCAATTTCCCTTCACCAAAACCCAGGATAACTCTGCTGAGCACTTCACATGACACCAAACCTAGGGCAGTTTGTGCTGTGGGGAGAGTGGTCGGTTGGTTTGGGAAAAACAAGTTGTGACATCATGGAAGCACAGGACCTGAGGTTAGAAATGCCAAGAACTACCATAGCCTGAACATTTCATGGGGAACAGCCTTTCCATGCCCCTGTTACGCTGGACAATGAACAAGATTCGTTTTCCTATCAAATGACTGACATGCTTTTTTCTTATTCTTAAAAAAAACCCAAAATAAAATAACTAACCTTTCCTTCCCCCTTACTTTTTCCTGAGACAAGAAGACAGATCCTGTTTTTAAAGAGATGTCAGAGGATGTTAAGAATTTAGGGAGACTGGAGAAAGTTTGAGCAGCAGCAGGACTGAGAGACATTCCTGAGGGAATAAGGGAGGTACTGAGGCTACAGCCAGGGAAAACAAAAGCAAAGGGCAGAGCCACAGGAAGCAGAAGATCCACCCTGCCCAGAACACCACCTTTATCTTCTTTTCTGAAGTCCTGTATAAAAGCAAGATTTGCAAGTGCCCCAATGGAAGATCAGAGACACTGGGAAAAAACAGTCAGAGGTGCTGGGCAACCACACCCACCCAGGGCTATCCCTCCAGTATTCCAAAGGTGGCTATGCTGCCTCTGCAAAAGGGAATCACTGGCTCAAAAGGAGATGTGACTCCTTTCCAGCCAACAAAACTGCAAATTATTCTGCCAGAAAGGCTGAAATAGAGCCCAAACCATTAAATCACTTTCCCTTTGCATTCAGATGGACAAAACCTTGTGTTTGTCAGGAATTCTGCGATGATTCCAGGAGACAGGATTTCTGTAAATACCACCTGAGCATTCCTTTAAAGGTCACTGTTTCTGCACAACTCCCCCCCCCCCCACATTTCCCCTGGGACAGCTCTTTGCCCTTTGTCTCCACTGCTCACCACTGTTTTGAAGGCTGTTCCATGGGATTAGTCGGGAGCTGAGTGGAAATCATCTGCTCAGATTCAGGGGACGTGCAAATTCAAGAAGAGCAGTCATAGAAATCATTGGAAAAAAAACCCCTTTAACTGACCATTTCAATCTGCACACTAGTTTGAACCAGCTCCAGCCACTGAAGTTGAACAGAAGAAGCAACTCCAGAAGGGCACAATACAACATTTGAATTCAGGGGGAAAAGGGACGTTCTCTTCAAAAAAGTTCATTTAAAATTACTCTGCAGCTACCAAGCACTAATTTAAGAGAAATTACCTTAAATGCCTAAATTAATGCTGCATATGACTAATTAGAACCATCCTTGGATTAATCACCATCATGAGTCTTTATCTATTTGTTCCCCCAATTTATCAGTTATTATGCCTAATATTTTATCTCTGCAGCATTCCTAAAAGATGTATTATTGCTGCTTTTGAAAGGCCAACTCCAACATGAGAAATTTCATTTATAATTTCTTCATACTATATAACAACGCTTCTAATTTACTTCAAAAAAAAAATCCAGGCTGAAAAATTAACAGCAAACTATCAATGCCTGGGGGTTCTCTGTTGTGAGAAGCGTTATAGCAAATAATTTGCTGAAAATAGCAATAAATTAATCCAGAGGAGTTATTTTAAAGTAAGTATTGAGAAAGCAACACATCAGACCAAACAAACTGCTTCCAAAACTGACAGAGATTGAAAAGCACAGGAAGTTATCAGAAATCAAAACATACTTCTTTTGAGATTGTGAAAGAGGCTGAAATTATGGCAAAATGAGGAGGGTGGAAGGAAATCCTCACTCTGCACATTAAATACAAAAATATGAAGGAAGACCAGCACATTTTCTCATCATCAACTTCCTGAGCACATCTGTAATAAATCCACTTCCAATAAATCCATTTCAACAATATGCAGAGCAGGAAGGCGAAGTCTCTGCTTGGAAAACATATGGTCAGTGTGAGAAAGATGTATTTAAACCCCAGCAGAAAATCACTGTGAACTTTGTGTCTGGTTTATTCCAGAGAAATTCCAGGGGTTGTCAATCCTGCTGGAACCATTTCTAACAGGGGGTGTGTTGAAGGATCTATGTCCAACTGAGTATCAGAAGAGAGGATCAATTAAAGGGAATAAAAATATTCAAGATTTATTGAGAATAAATGGTGTTCACCCAAGAATCTGGGGGGGGGGGGGGCAGGAGATAAACTTCTCATCTTGACAAGCAGCTGTTATCAGGTACTGGGACACAAACTGCACCTCAGAATCAGATCAGGTTCTGCTGTTAAGTCAAAGCCCCCTAATCCTGGCAACTACGGATTTACTTTTTAAGGAAGTCTCTCAAATCTACACGATTTCATTGCATCCACCCAATGCAGAGGGATTGCTGCAGCTTTATGCATATTGCATTTCCAATGATGCTGTTTTATTTTTAAGTAACTTGGCATTGCTGAGATATGAGGTAGTTAACTGAAACAGCCTCAGAAATAAGGATGCTGCCTACAGATCCCACCACAGCACCACATTACTAACAAAAGATCCGAGATCTATTATTTAGGATTTATGCTTTTAAGGAACTGAGGAGCATTAACTTTTTCCTTCCATGTGACGTATGAAAACAAAGCCAAGTCCCAAATCCCCTATTTCCATTGTCATTTGAAGGGAATGGGATCTCTCCCGTGACAACCTGTGACAATGTCACAGTCTTTCAACTGATTACTTTCTTAAACTCCTGGGGAAGTTCCAATCACAATTCCCCAGTTAACTGAGATCTTTAATATTCTCTGTCCCATAAGTGGGACTTAACAAAGGTTCTGCCTTGAAGCCTGTTTCCTTTCACTGTAACTAAATGAGGCTCTCACTCAGAGGATTAACACACCTTTTGAACAGCTGTCTGTCTGCTGATGAGAACTGCTGTTGATCAGCAAGTGAATCCTTTGGAACAACGGTCTCCTAAAATGAAGTCCATGCTAGAGAACCACCTGCACGCTGGGAAAGTGAACGAAGAACCCAGAGGTGGACAGAAATTATCCTCTAAAATAACTAATGGAGGGAAATCTCCCAAGATCAGAATCTTCTACAGGTAGGAAGCTGCCAAGTAAGCAGCACTTCAAAGACAAACAGAAAGGGGGCTGATCCGAATGTAAAGTCCCAGATCTGGGGTTTGAGTAACTGCTGCCTCGGGGTCCCAGCAGATGTCAATAAGGAATGAAAGGAGTACGTCCCAAACTCCAGAATGAAATGTTTCTCATCATTTTGCGTCCTCAAAAGCATGGAAAGGACTGGTTACACCTGCTGAAGGTTCCCTAACTAGCAATATCAGCCTTTACCACAGTGACTCAATAACACGGGAAACGAAACAATCACAGCAGAAACTAAAGAGAGTTCATGAAAAATATTCCTGGAGTGTCTGTCTCACATTCCAGAGCCTTCAGCTCCCCTCTCCTGACTCTCATGGATAGAAATGACCTATGGAAGCTGCTCAGTGTTTGACACAGACACAGCTCTGGCTTAGCAGAGCTAAAAGACTTACATGGTGGCAGAAAATCAGGCTCTGGCAGGAAAACATCCCTACTCTGGTGCAGATGAGGTATTTCCTGACATGCTGGGGCGCTGAATAATTTTAGTGATAGTACAATTTCAAACTCCATACCCAAATTTATTGTAAGGGCTAACAGCCTGAAAGTGGTGATATTCCTGTGACTGCAGCGTTGAGGATGTATCACATTGTACAAGGAATTTCTGTGCTAGCTGGAGACTGTATTTTTAGACATTAGTTACTCATTTATTGAGTACCAGGGAGAGGCACGAGGCTGTTACACAATGTGCCTCCCCCAGAGCTGGGGGGGCTGAGGGGATGAAGAAACCTTCACATTTACTCAGGAAGGCCCCTGAGCAGGCTCCTTCCAGCACCCAGGACTCCAGGGCTGACCTTTCCACCAGCAGAGGCTCAGCAGAAGCCCCGAGTGCAGAACAGCTCTGCTGCCTCCTTGCTGAGCACAGATGCAGGAGAAGGAGCCTCATTAATATGTAAATGGAATAAAGACAAGATAACATTAAAAATCCCTTGCATGCAACAAGACAACAATATTTACCAGAACTGCTCTTCAACCTGGGAGCGAAGAAAATAAACAACTAAAAATAGATGAAAAGTAATTCCTAACTGATTGTGTTTATGCTCCTGTGTTTATCCTAAAATTGGCAAATAGACTCCTCTCTGACAAATAACAGTCAAGTGGACAAACACTGCAACATCCCATTTTTAAATCTGAGGGGATAGTAAGGATTGAAAAATGTGGTAGAATAAGTGCACAGTGAGAAGAGGTGACTATCTGAAAAGAGCTGCTGCAATGAAACGGAGATGAAAATGTAAAAAAAGGATGAAAATTAGACTTTCAGCTCAGAGGCCAGCACTGAGCAGCAGCTCTGCCAAAGAGTAATCCATCATTCACAGCTTATCACGGGCTGGTCACAGAAGAGCAACTCAAAGACATTTTCACATTTCAATATATAGCAAAGAAAGCCAAAAAAACCCACCCATATCAGAGCCCAGTCAGTGTTAGCTCTGCTGGAAAACAGTTTATTGTTCCCTCTGCTAATGTGGGTACCAACAAACAGGCAATGGAACAACAACTAAACCGGAGTGTTTGCTCTGCCAGCAAAGCAGCCACACACTGATCCTGCATGGAAAACCTTCAGGCAAGTGAGACTGGAATTAGGAACAAACTGTGAACCTGAGCCACCAAGCAGATCAGGATTTAATAACAAAATACGCCACGATACAAATGATTCCCATCCTTCCACAGCACCTCAGTTCACTGTAAAACATGACCAGCAACCTGGAATCCCTGAGAGGCAACTCCACCACTTGCTGAACGCCAGGGAAGCGCCGGGTCTGCTTTCCCAGCTTGCCCAGCAAGAACATCCCCCCTGAGCCAACCCCACGGATCTCCCTGCCCCGGGGCTCCCCTTGTCCCACTGAGGGCACACTGGTTGTTCGTGGAATGGGAGTTACTTTAACCAGGAAATCGGGGAGAACACGTGTCCTGTGTTCTCACAGAGAGGGTGACTTGTGCCAAGCGCTCCAACTCCCCGGAGCAGGGAGCTGGAAGTGCATATTTGTGCAGCATGGAAGCAGCCCAGAGCACTGCCCAGTTATGCACTGCAACAGCAGCTCTCTTTAAACAGAGCTGGAATCTGCAGAGTATTTCAACAGAGAGCGTGCAGGAAACACCTCTTTGCCCGAAGACCCCCCAAAAATTCTACCTTGTGCGGTGTCCTCAAGTGAAACCCCCAGTCTAGAATCTGGAACTCTGTTCCTTCCTTATCACCGTTGTCAGCCCTAAACTTTATTTTTAGGTGCTTTGTCACATAAATGTTCCGCAACAGAAAAAGTTTCCATCTTCCCCGATTTCCCACTGTTCTGAAGATGAGATTAAGAGACGGAACGAAAACTGACAGACCTGTTAAAATGAGGCAGGGAGCCTTTAATGGTTTTCCTTTTTATCTGACAGCTCAGATCATCTCTCATTTCAGTGGGGAATGAAGAAAATGCTCTTCAGCTTTTTACCCCCTCCACTTGAGGACAGACCTTTTCCAGCCTTATTCAATAATCCCATTCTTCAAACCTCTTTGCTTTCATATTAGAAGGTGGCCATGAATGCCCAGCACCTCTGGTAGAAGTTATTTCAGTAATATAAAGCTGCCACAATATTACTTTCAACATAGATTATTACTTCTTATTCCCAACAGAACGACAAGTTTCTAAGCAAATTAATTAGCTTTAAACAATATCTCTCTAAAATTCACCAGATCAATCATAAACTCAGGGTCCAGTCATGGACATCTGTCACAGTCACAAATATTTAAGAAAACTATGTGAGGATGAAGGAAAAGTTCCTCCTGGGAAATCTCCACGGTTGTATCTGATCTCAATACTGGCAAGTAGGTAGAAACCATCAACTAAAATCATTACACTTAGGAATAATTCCATGCTGAATATTGGATATGGCTGTTCTACAGGAAGCAGTGATTCCCAAATCCTTCTCTGAACCAACGAGTACATAAAGAATGAGGCAGTCAATAAGTCTTCCAGGACTTTTCCAAAGCATTCAACTTCCCAAAAGGCCCTTCCCAAAGGCTTCTTAGGGAACTAAGCTGCTATAGAAAACCCTTACACACACTTAAATAATAGAATAAAGAATAGAAAGCAGAAGGCAGGAATAAACAGAAAAAAACAGAGAATGAGGGTGAGGTCCTTCACAGAACCCTGCAGAAAGACGTGCTAGGGCTGATACTGCTGCAAACATTCACAAACCTTGGAGAACACGTGAAGACAGCACACTAACAAAGACTGCTGATGAGACAGAGTTGCTTGGAGCAGGGAATTAAAACCTGACTGCAGATCATGTTTTATCAAGACAAGGTGGCCAAGTGGCAGAGGGGATTCAACTGCAGGTGAATCCAAAATGCTTCACAGGAAAAGCAGCCCTTGACCTGACGGATGCACTGCCAGGCCTCTGCACAGGTTCCCATAAGGGTTTGGGTGGGAGGGCACCTTAAAGCTCACCTCATTCCTCTCCCTGCCACGGGCAGGGACACCTTCCACCAGCACAGGTTGCTCCAAGCCCCGTCCAGCCTGGCCTGGGACACTTCCAGGGCTGGGGCAGCCACAGCTTCTCTGGGCAACCTGTGGGCAACTCACCACCCTCACAGGGAAGGATTTCTCTTTAATATCCCATCTCACCCTGTCCTGTGGCAGTTGGAAGCGATTCCTCCTTGTCCTGTTACTGCAGGTGTCAGACACCAGATCAGGAATTATTGGGTTGGAACCCCCTCCGTGGTGTGTGGGAGGGTGTGTGGAGGGGAAGGGATGGGTCGATCCTCACGGAGCCAAGATGGCGTCGTGTCCCTCACGGCAAACCCCGGAGCCCACAGGGGAAGCCCCAGAGCGGCTGCTGGTCACAAACAGCGTGGGAAACCTGTGACACCCCACACCTCACAGGGACACTGCCCTGGGACACCCCACACCTCACAGGACACTGCCCTGGGACACCCCACACCTCACAGGACACTGCCCTGNCCTTTTCTCCATCTCATGGATCTCCATGACAAATGACTTTCTGGTTTCTTCCAGGGGACTAAGGAGAGTTCACGGAACAAGCAAGGGATCCCCAAGATGCCCCGGCTGGAATTCATTTATTCAGTACTGATGCTCAGGAACCTGCTGGCCAGTTTTAAATTCTTTACTGTGTACCTTGCTCATGCTCTAACTTGTCCAGCATTTATATGTTCTTTCCACCTCAGGCTTCAGGATGTACAGAACTTCAGTAGAATCCCCTTCATCAGTGAAACCTCTACTTCTATTTTTTTTGTGCCAGCTTGTCACGATCTATTTTCGGTAAACTCACAGGCCTTCATTATAACACACTTCTCACATTTAATTCTTGAAAAGATGAATATTATTCCATCATTTTTCACTTCACTGATATCCAAGTGACAAGCCCACAATTACCTGCATTGTCCTGGTTATTCTTTTCCTAGATTGGCACAGGAACTGTTTTCCTGTAGCCCTCCAGAGCCCTCCAAGATTAGTGAGAAATCAATATCATTGGTTCAAAGTTCTCTCTGTTCCTTTATTTCGTACTTCTTTATTTAACGTGAATTACTCACAATAATGAACTTCAATACCTAAGCAGCTCTATTTATAACAGTCATCCAAATTACTGTTTGAATAGGAGTCTGTATCCCCACAGAATTTATCTGGAGAACCGGAATATGTATCATTACACCCCAAAGGCAGGACATTCTTTTGTACTTGTTTTGACAAGCCTATCATTTCTATTAATCAGCAGGAGGTGGAAAACAGTAACAAGGAAGTGGAAGGGAAGTGGAAGTGGCTTTGTCTAAGGCAATCATTTATTCCACATGAATAGAATGAATCCCACATTATATAATATTCTACAGAATATTCTGCATGAATTTCCTGAATTTCAGAAACAAACGTGAAACAAAAACTGACTGCCAAGACCACAACAGAATGCACAAGTGCCAGCCAGAGAACTACCCACCAAGCTGCAATATTCTACCTTCTGGATCTCTCCTGAGCAGCACAAGTCTGTCTGTACAAGCTGGACAAATCTGTTCACTGAGTACCTCAACTTCCCCTCTATGTGCACACTGGAAAATAACATGAGAGGTTTTTCCAGCAGGGGTGACCTGGCAGCAGCGAGTGAAAAGCTCTGCTCATGGAACCATCAGCAAACTCGGTTCTCTAAATAATCATCTACAGACATCCCTGTTTAACCTCACAGCACAGCTTGCTCTGAGGGTTTCTCTTCCTCTGCAAACCTCTCCAGCTCAGAGCAAAACCAGCTTCTCCCACACCACGGTTCCACTGAGGAGAATCTCCGACCTCCAACTGCCCCTCAGCAAAGGCAGCCCGAGCCTCGCCCCTCTCACCTGCACCCTGCAGATGCCGAAGGCAAAGTTAGGGGAAGCACTGCAGAAACCCTACACTCTCCACATGCAGCCTAAATAAAGCTTCCAGATCCTACTGATTGGAGACTCGGAGCAGAACAGGGTTAGGGGGGCAAAAGACAGTCACAGCAAAATATGGAGTTGCTTTAAAACGCAGAGCACTGGCTGTACCTTACAGATTTTGTACAGAGATTCCTGCCCGTCTCCTTCCGTATCTTTGAAATAATCGTGTGCTGGGTATGTCCGATGGATATCTCGTTTGATGACACTCTCCTGAGCAGAATCCTGGAAAAAAAAAAAAAAAAGAGAGAAAACCCTCCATGTATTAACTCGGTAACAGTGTAATTAAACAGCACGGAATAGAAAATGCCCTGTGTAATCAACGTGGATACATCAGGGAGCAGCTTTCCTGACTCAGCCTCCAGAAATGCTCTAAGAAGAAACTGAAAATCCTTTGCAGCCTCAGATGCAGTAATAACTTGGCAGTTTAGCCAGAGCAACGTGGCATGTTTTCCGGTCTTCAGGCTTAAGGTTCATCCTTAAAACTCCAAGGAAATTACTAGTTATTTAACTGTTGGGGCATTATTACCACAGATCACATGCTTACTGTAAGGCTCTGGCAGTAAAAAACCCAAGAGAATTAGAGTGTCCCTCTCCTGCAAGCTCAAAGGTACTAATCTGAAATGTATATCAATCTGCCATAAAGAGTGTTAGCTAAAAACTCATAAAGAATTCCTATAAAAAGATGGGAGTCACTGCAAACAGACCTGAAAAACACCACTGTGTGCATGAGGAAGTGGCATCAACATGTCAGAGCTGGAACTACAACAGTTAATCAATTATCTTCAGATTCCAGTTGCCCTCAGTGCAAGATGTCCCTTTAGGTTGGTAAATATCAAAGGGTGCTTTTCTCCATTACCTTTCTAATCCTTAAGGAAAAGCCAACAAAATCCTCACCTGTGACTTGGATAATAAATCCTTTATATATACACTTTTACCTTGAAAACAAAATATCTCTGTTACAGAAAAGCTTCTAAACCCTCAGACTGTGTACCTCGTAATCCAGGGCTTTCCATAAAAAAAAAGCTCTTTTTATACCTGCTGGAGTCAGTAACCAGTAATCTCCTGAATTTCAGTGGTTTCTTAATCCTGTAAAGCCTCTGTGCCACATAGAAATGCAGCTGCCTGGGGAGGGCTGAGCCACAGGTCCAGGGCAATTCCCAGCTCCAGCTCCCTCGGGGCCCATCCGTAGCCAGACCAGGCTATCCCAGGGGTGAAACTCCACCACTGCATTCCTCCACTTTGTGTTTTCTGACCCCCTTGATTGTTTTAGCCCGAGTAACACTGCACGGAGAATCCCAGAAGGGTTTGGGTGGGAAGGGGCCTCACAGCTCATCCAGTTCCACCCCGTGCCACGGGCAGGGACACCTTCCACCAGCCCAGGTTGCTCCAAGCCCCGTCCAACCTGCCCTTGGACACTTCCAGGGATCCAGGGGCAGCCACAGCTTCTCTGGGCAACCTGTGCCAGGGCCTGCCCACCCTCACAGGGGAGAATTCCTTCCCAATATCCCACCTAACCCTGCCCTCTGGCAGTGGAAAGCCACTCCCTGTGTCCTGTTCCTCTCCAGTCCCTTTAGGCACTGGAAGGGGCTCTCAGCTCTCCCTGGAGCCTTCTCTTCTTCTCCAGGCTGGACCTCCCCAGCTCTCCCAGCCTTTCCTCACAGGAGAGGTGTTCCAGCCCTCTAAACTACCAGGCATATTGTCACGTGCTATGAAAAGGAAAGCTTACAGAGAAAGGTGATGTTTTTATTACGCCACCCAGTACTGCTGGAGAAGGTAAACCCCATTTTTGTGCTTTCACCGTGTCATCAGGATGATCCTCAGGACATCAGAGCAACTACGAGCAACCAAAACTAACCACTCAACAAAGCAACAACACACAGGCTAATAATCAAAATTTAATAACAAGCAGCTCTCTAATCAGACCTCTTTAATGAGCACTTTCATTTACACGGCTTCCAAACACCGGAGAGGCTGGAAAACTGCAGTTTGGGTCCCAGCATTTGAGATCTACCAGCACAGTCATGGGAATTCTTCAGCACAAATGTGATAGGATCCAGAGAAAGTTACAGGAAGGGCACCACGTCCAGCACACACATCACTTTCCTGTCGAGCTGGGGCATTGTGTTTGACTTCCCTGAACTTCTCTCTCCTCCATCGGGAGGCCCAACGTGTGACTGAGCACACAGGAGCTGACAGGGAAGATGTCCAAGGCAGGGACAGAAATACTGGTGAAAAGGCCCAAATGCACAGTCACTTTTTACTGAGTTAAAAAGGAGACTGAAGCAGTCTTCATGCAGCATGATTAACAAAAGATACTTCCGAAAAACTAGAGGAAAACAATTAATTGGACCCCCCAAAAAATTAATTTGGAAGACTGGAGAATTAACTCCTTCTCAAAAGGCAATATCCCTTCAAAATACAATAAACCCATAGTTGCAGACAACCAAGAAATAAGCCTAGAGTGTAGAACTACTACTTAAAGTAGACCAAAAATACTTTGGTTAAGTTTCTACCTTTTTGCAGGAAGAGTTTGTCGATAGCGCTGTTCTCAGGAGTACCACAGTTTACAGTTCTCTTAATTTAGGTTTTCAGAGGATTTTTATCCTTCTGAAAATCATGAGTAGTTAATTTATGATGAAAAAGAAAAAAAAAAGCTAAGGTGAGATGGCTATCAAAGCATTCAGAGTTCTAATCATCTTTCTCGCTTCTAATTATCATTTCAGTGCTGCCAGCTCAGAGAAATAATATTCTACTGAGGGGGAAAGAATCATCTCCCTGTGTCAGTGCTCTGACAGCTGCACGAGCTCTCTGCTCCCGTCCCCTCCTCCTGACACAGCCCAACTTCTGCACAGAGCCACTGCAAAACTGACTCCCTGACATTCCTGCCACTCCCAGCTCTCGAGGGGGCATTTGATGGACACAGAAATTGGGAAGAGAACAACAAAACTGTTTAAATTAAATGAGCATTACAATAGAAACACGGGCGATCTTTGTGCACCTACACCTGGAACTGTGAATTGTTAATTAAGAATTGTTAATTAAGAACATCTCACGCGCACTCCAACTCATTTGTTGTCACAAGTGGACACACTCTGCTGATGAATTACAGGTAGGGAGCAGAAGAGACTTCCAAGAACTGGAGAGTTAAGTATTGAATCAGTCAGAAGAATTTATTGAGAAGGAAAAATCTCCTGGGGAATAACATGCCAGTGCTATGTTGAGACTCAGATTCCCTGCCCACTTCTGCCCAAAATTACTTTTGTGAAACCAGGCACGTCCCTTATGCAAAAAAAAAAAAAAAAAAAAAAAAAATCCCAGGAGCGGTCACCTGAGCTTTCCTTCCAGCTCCTGCATCACAGCTGCTGACTCAGCATGGAGAGAGGCAGAATTACAGGAATTCAACAGTTTAACGTGAATATGAAGGAAATAATAACCCAGGTCACAGATGTCTGAAACCTGGCACTCAAACTGAGCAGCAATTGTGACCTCAATCTCCTTGTGCTCCATTTCCCTGGTTAATAATAATTTCCCATCTCGGTAGGGTGGTATGAAAATCAATTAACATCTGAAGCACTGAAATGCTGGAGCGATGAGCCCTGCAGAAACGCCAGGGAGGGAAACAATAACTCCAGCCCCCAATCCTGCCCTGAGTGGTGTCTAGTAAGGCACAGGCTCACATGAGCAAAAATAGTAAGGGGGAAGAAAAAAAGTACATCCAAGCAGCTTGTTAGATAAAGCACTTTTGTACACAACCCAGAACCATGGATCTCTGTGTGATCAGGAATATATCATTATGCATATCAGTAGGCAATTCTTATACTGAACTTCCAAAGGCTTATCTCTAACCTTAAACTCCTTCAAGTTTGGTTTCATCACATACGTTTACACAGGAAAACAGGATCTGCATTTTTTAGCGGGAGGTGTCCGTGCCCATGGCAGGGGGTTGGAGAGAGGTGAGCTTTAATGTCCCTCCCTCCCCAAACCCCTCTGGGATTCTCTGTGCTGGAGACTCACTGCAGGTTCCCCTGAGTGGCCCGTTTTGAAGGGGCTGCATCTCTGGTGAGGCTCAACGAGCTGATTTTGCATCACCTGAGCTCCATCTCTTCACTCGCTAAAAATAGCCAGAATCCAGAGTACCAAGGAAAGGAAGAAAAGGGGGAGAAAAAAATCAGAGTGGGCTCTCAGCAACTAAAATTACCATGCCCTGGAAATCTGGCGTGTCACGCTCCTTCAGGATCAGATACTGAAACTTTGCTACACATTGTATGGAAAGCAAAAGCCCCCAGGCTGCTGCAGGCACTCATCTCTCCTGTTCAGCCAAGGTGTGAGCACACCCCTCCTGCTGCTATCAGGAGCTGGAGGTACCTCAATAAACCCGGCTCTTAACCCTGAAAAGATGTCAGATCAAACACTGACCGCCAGGTGCACGCTCCTGACATTGTTTCAGTGCCCAAATGTTCGCTGAAGGAACAGATTTTTTTGCAGATTGCTTGGTTTGTTCCTTGAAGTTCTCTGTGCTCCTGTTGCAGTTCCACACAGGGAACACGAGCAATGACTTTAAACCCTCTAAAACATAATCACAAGCAGGCAGCAAACACAAAATACACAGAAGAGATGAGGTCAGTCAGCCTGGGTTTGAAATGATCTCCACAATTGGCTCGAAGCTCTGCCCTCATTATTACTGATGTCCTACTCAATTCCTGCTCCCACTCAACCTGCCAGCACCTTGTGTATAGAGACATTATCAATCCCTCTCCTCTCCTCATTTTCCATGCATGTTATAACCCTCCCAGCAGAATCTGTGATCCAAGAAAACCTCAGGTTCCCTACTAATCAGTATTTGGGGAAAAAAAAAATAAATCAATAGCTCATCCTTTTAAACACATTGAATAAAAGATGTTGGCTTCTGCTCAGGCCTTCTGTAGCATATTTGTAATACATACCTTATAGTTCAGCTCTTGCCTATAAATAGATTTTCTTTCAATCATCAGCAGCTTTTATTCAGCTGAGAGCATCTAACACTCAGAGAGTACTAATTAACAGGAAAATGGAGAAAAAAGGCAGGGGATCGTTCTGTGGAGACTTTTTTTTTAACAGTTGCATATCAATATATTGAAAGTGAACATAATATTTAGTTTAACTCAGTAAATACCTTGGTCAGCTGAATTTGCAAACTCTGGCTCAACTCTCAGCTGCATTTATTGCTGCTTGGGCAGAACCCC